CTCAGATGCCAGCGCGTGCATGCGCCCGCCGCGCCCATTCTGGAACACCCCTCGCACGCTGCGTGGCCCCATAAGAGCATCCACCGAATGTCCAAATGCCAGCGCCCGCATGCGCCCACCGCACCCATTTTAGCACACCTCTCACACGCTTCGTGGCCCCGTAAGGAGCTCCACCGAAGGCCCAAATGCCAGCGTTCGCATGCGCTCACCGCGCTCACTCTGGTACGCCCCTCACACGTTTCGTGGCCCCACAGGGAGCTCCACCGAAGGCACATATGCTCCCACCGCGCCTATTTCGGCGCACCCCTCACACGCTTCGTGGCCCCATATGGGAGCCCCACCGAAGGCCCAAATGCCAGCGCTCGCATGCGCCCACCGCATCCATCGTGGCACACTTCTGACACGCGTCGTGGCCCCACAGGGAGCCCCACCGAAGGCCCAAATGCCAGCGCTCGCATGCGCTCACCGCGCCCATTCTGGAACACCCCTCGCACGTTTCGTGGCCACATAGGGAGCTCCACCGAGGGCCCAAATGCCAGCGCTCGCTTGCGCCCACCGTGCCCATTCTGGCAGATTCATCACACGTTTCGTGGCCCCAAAATGCCAGCGCCAGCATGCACGTTTCGTGGCCCCTATAGGGATATTCACCGAAGGCCCAAATGCCAGCGCTCGCATGCGCCCACCGCGCCCATTTTGGCACACCTCTCACACGCTTCGTGGCCCCATCGGGAGCTCCGCCAAAGGCCCAAATGCCAGCGCTCGCATGCGCCCACCGCGCCAATTTTGGCACACCCCTCAAACGTCACGTGGCCCGATAGGGAGCTCCACCGCAGGCGGTGCATACAGCGACGGCGCCTACAATTGCATATGGTTGGGTCCTTCGTCAGGCTAATTTTGGAGGGGGGTGGATGGTCCTCCCCGTCGCGCGATAGATTTGCTACTGTGGGTTCTTGAATTCCTGTTCTAACTTCTGCCAGGAACCAATTATTATTTCTCGAGGTTCGGCCCTGCTGGACGGGACACTTGAACTAATTGGCTAGTTGTTTTTGCTGCGCTGGAAGAAGATGGCATACAGTTTAAGCCGTGCCAAGTTGTCAACACATGTGCTTCTTCAGTCACCCTTGCATGTGGATGGGGGGGTCGGTTGGATCAGAAAGCAGGAGGCAAATATTGCTCAACTCTAGGCTTTAGTTCAAGAGTTCTGCGTCGATGTGTTCAGAGGCCCCCAGCATGATATCTGAGTTTGCCCAGGGATCAAGTGCTCGTGACAGGCCGTCCGCACTTGCCATGATTTCCTGAATTCTCAATCCGAATCTCGTATCCGAGCCCTCTGAGTTAGAAGAGCTTGAGGGCACTCACTCAGTCAGTTGCGGTGTCATAGTCCCAGTCTGCTCGGGACTCCATTGGCTCGGCAGCCCCTGACCCGCCCCCCCCCCACCTCCCGCCCCTCCTCCTGTGTCCGGCTTCTGACCCTCCCTCACTTATGCTGCTGCCACAGCATCTGCGCAGTCGGAAAACCATCGCTGGCTTACTGCTGCTGTGCGCAACCCGTATGGGAGGGGGGCAGTGGAGGCCCTGCACAGTTGTCAGAGTTAGGTGGGCTTGGATATTTTTTGTCCAGATCATGCCGTTCCTATGCTGCCTTTGGGGAGCTTCTGGAGATGGGTTGCTTGTCCCTCCTGTCCCCTCTCTCCCCCCCGTGCCTTGAAGGTCGCTTGGGGGGCAGCGTTGTTTCCAGGGCCAGATCCCAATACGCTCAGCCGGCGCGCTTGATCCGTCGATATCAATCCTTACGACACCCATTCGCCACAAGTTCGGACCTTGGGCTTGATTGGGCTGCTTAGGTTTGCTCTTACCCTACGAGCATTGCCTCCTCCTCCGTCGCCCCAGAGACACAGATCGCGTTCGCTGCCCCTACGCGAGCTGACACCCCTACCCCCCGACGACTTCTGGGGGGGAGGGTGGGGTTCACGTCGTTCGGGAGCTCCCGAGCGAAGTGAGCCCCCCCAGCCTCCCCCTCAGAAATCGTGGGGGGCGGGGGCAGGGTTCGCATGTGTCGGGTCGGGCGAAAGGGGGGGATAACAAAGGGGGGGTTTGAGAATCAGCTCACGTAGCTGATTCTCCCGGCGCCTCCCGGCGCCGGAGGCGGCCATGTATCGAGGAATGGGCCCCTCGGTGAGGCCGAAACCAGCTGCATGCAGCAAATTTCGTACCCCCCCCTTTCCCAATCCCCCCCTTTCGCCCGGCCCGAATGTGGCCCCCTAGCGGGGGGGGCGGGGCAGGGAGGCGCACGATGAGGGCGGCGAAGGCGCCCCCGCGAGGAGCAGAGCAGCTCGCAGAGCAGCGGCGCGTGCAAACTCCACGCGTTCAGCGCAGGGGGCGCGGGCGAGGCTCTGCGGCGCGAGGCACCGAAGAAGGACGCACGGCCTGCGCTCAGCAACGCTCGCTGCCCCTCCGCGAGCTGAGACCCGTGCCTCTCCTCGGCCGTCCCCCCGGCGCCCGCCGCCGCGGGTGGGCCGCGGCCGCCATCCGCGGCCTCGCGGACGGTGCCGCCTGACGCACGGCTCCGCGGCAGCGTGGGGGGGGGCAGAAGGGGGGGGGGAGGTTCAGTCAGTCACTGCAGTCCGGGCGCTGAAGAAGGAACCCTTTACGTTGGGGAGGGGCTCGGTGTCCCTTGATTGTTTCAGAGTTTGCCTCGGGTTTTCCCGAGGTTTTCCATAGGGAATCGAGGTTGAACTTATGGGAAAAAGGGGCCTCGTTCCTTATTCAGGGTTCCTTAGGTCAACGCCTCGACTGTAGGGCTCTATACGCCGTCCTTGTCAATGCTGCGTGTCGTGAAAGAACATGCGCCCGCACAGCGGGCGCCTCAGGATGTGGCGCTCACCATGCCACACCCCCCTGGCAGCAGCTCGCGCGACGGGCACTTCCGAGGACGGCCGATCCGAACGGGATCCTTCCTCCCCCTCCTCTTGGGGTGCGACGGCCTCCCCAGCACCGTATTCCACCGCATGCTCCTCCACTCCCCTGTTCAGGGCAACTCGCCGGGGCATCGTTTGTGCATGGGTTGCTGGGCTTACTTTTTGGTACGCGGGCGCGCGAAGACGAGGTGATTGCCGTGTAAGCTGAGGCGGGCCGCGCCGAAGCAAAGGGGAAAACAGCGAAGCAGTTGCTGGGCGTACGCGAAGCGTCTAGAGTTCAAACGCAAATTCAACCTGACCAGCTCGGTGCCGCGCCCCGCGAGGAGAGGGAGGGAAGGAAACGAAGCCGGCGCCGGGGTCTCCCCGGCAGGGCCTCCACCCTCCGCCGGGAGCGGCGGCCGGGCGACGGGGAGGCGTGAGACAACTCCCGAGCTCGGCTCCGAAGCGTGCCAGGCGTGCCTCGGGGGCCCCAAGACGGTGTGCTGACCACACCGTGTGGTGACCACACCGTGTGGTGAGTCGGTGGGGATTCGGGGTCACCGCACGGTTTTGGGACTCGGGTCGTTCTCTGAGGACGTCTCGGGCGACTGGGGGGGCCAAAACCGTGCGTTGACGGACCGTGCGGTGAGGTCTGGGGGGATTTCGAGGTCACCGCACGGTCTGTCACCGCCGTGCCAGGCGTACCGCATACCACCACCACCACCACCACCACCACCACCACCTCCTCCTCCTCCTCCTCCTCCTCCTCCTCCTCCTCCTCCTCCTGCTCCTCCTCCTCCTCCTCCTCCTCCTCCTCCTCTCCCCTCCTCCTCCTCCTCCTCCTCCTCCTCCTCCTCCTCTGCTCCTCCTCCTCCTCCTCCTCCTCCTCCTCCTCCTCCTCCTCCTCCTCCTCCTCCTCCTCCTCCTCCTCCTCCTCCTCCTCGGGGGAGGGGGCGGGGGGCGGTCGTCGGGGCCGCCGTCGCCCCGGTGGCAGTTGTGGGCCCCGGGCCGCGCCCTCGGAGGCCTCCAAGAGGGCCCCAAGAGAGCCCCAGAGCGCCCCAGCAGGAGGAGGAGGAGGAGGAGGAGGAGGAGGAGGAGGAGGGGGAGGAGGGGGAGGAGGAGGAAGAGGAGGAGGAGCCCGAAGAGGGCCCAAGAGGCTTCCATGATGGCCCCCACGATGGCCCCAAGGGGAGCGAGCGAAAGATCGCAAAGGCCTTCACATTGACTCCTGTCGGGGTCGTCGTCGTCGACGTCGTCGGCGGCGGCGGCGTCGGCGGCGGCGGCGGCGGCGGCGGCCCGCGCTTCCCGCGGCTGCCTTGGTTGAGTGGTTGCCTGTCGTCCTTCAAAGTTTTTGTCCCCTCGCGCATGTCCAGACACGGTCCGTGTGGGCGACCGCTGGCAAGCCCCTACTCAGAAGCTGCGTCGGCCAGCTGGGCCTGTTAGCATGCGCACGCAGCATGCGAAACAAGAATGGGCCCAAGGAAGCGTCAGCATATCCATCACCCATCAGGCATCAGGCCATTTTAACAAAGTTGTGCGCTATGCATCTGGCTGCAGAGCTGCATTACGACATGTGTTGTTGCTACCGAGACGGTGGTCGTGGAGGCGGTGAAGGCAGTGCGCCTCTTGCGCCATTCCTGATCAGGCCAGCTCGATCGAGCGAGCTGCCTCACTGATCAATAACCTGATCCTGAGAAACGCCGGATGGAACTGACGCAAATGGCACCCTGGTGCACGTTGGCAATGGAGGCTCTGTACCTACCTCCTGCTGTGCAAAACTCCTTCCGTCGGGAAAATGTGGCCATCAACCGGATGGACAACAACACCTGCGAAGAAAAACAAGAGTACGGAAACGCCGCGTCCCGAGTACGGAAACGACGCCTCTATAGCCAAGAGGCTCTCAGAAGTCGGGAACGCTTTACACGACGTCTGGTTTCGCGAGCTGACGAGCTCCCAAACGTTCTTGATACAACAAGCTGTAAAAACTTCGGCTCTCAGGAGCTAAAGCGTCAGTCCAGAGAAACACTCCGCCGTGCTACCGAGGCGAATATCAAGTTCATGAACACAGAGCCGCACTCCTGAAGGAACACAGCGACCTCGTTCCTACTTGATAAACCTGTCCTTAGCAGGCGCTGGACTCGATGTTGTCAAAGGTGCCTCCCCGAGGATGCTGGCGGGCACACATGCACTGGCAGGGTCCCGCAAGCCATGGGCAGCTAAGACCCGCCGAGCCGCGCGGCCGCACGGAGGAAAAGAGAGGAGGACGGGCATCGAGACGTGGTGACAGGCCTGGCAAGTTCGCAAGATGCTCACAGAGGCGTCGCCGCAAAAGGTGCCACGCTGGCACGGTGGCGGAACCTGACGCCAGCACCTGGCGAACACCGTGCGCTGATCTCCCGCTCTGCGCACTGCGCCGCCTTGGAAGCGTGGAGCCGGCGACACGCTCATCTTTGGACGCCCGAAATCGGCACCTAACACCGAACACCAAAGGTTGTCCAGAGCTGGCCGCGGCCGCTCTTGGCCAGGCGCAGCCTGGCGGCCTTCTGTCTCAAATGGGCCACGTCCGCGGCGGCACCGACAGCGACTCCTGTTCAAAGTGCAGGCCCCGTCGGCGTGTGTGAGCGGCTCGTCTGCTCGGGTCGTCGTCTCCGTCAGTCGTCGCCTCCGTCGTCCCCTTTGCCTGCACCCTCCTCCTCAAGCCTGTCAGCGAGAGAAAAATCTAGCAACGTCGTAGTCGAGTCGGAGTCGAAGGGAAGCCCCTTCCCTTTGATCCCTCCGCCGTCGGGGGGGGGTCCTGGGTGGGGGGGGTCCTGGGGGGGGGGAGCGGGTCCCGGGGGAGGTCCCGGGGGGGTCCCAGCTGGGGAGGGTCCCAGGGGAGAGGGGGTGAGACACGCATCCCCCCCCCCCCCGGGGAGGTCCCGGGGCCTCCGAAAATACCAAGACAGGCCAAGAGTGCCCCAAGAGGCCCCCGAGACGGTCCAAGAGGGCCCCAATCGCCAAACTGTCGCTCCAACACGCCGTCACGCCCTCCAGACTCCCAGGAGGCCGCCAAAACGTCCCAAGAAGCCTCCAAGAGCATTCCCGAAAAGGGCCCCACGAGGCAAAATTCACTGATGTCCCTTTGGTCTTTTAAGGATTGGGGCGTTCTCGCCCTTTTCGCTCCGCGCCGCTCCAGGACGGCCCACGAGGCCCTCAAGAACGCCCCAAGACGGCCCAAGAGGCATCCCAGAGGGCCCCCATACAGTGCAAGAGGACCCCAAGACACCCAAACGCATCCAAGACGGCCCAAGAGGCCCCCAAGACGGCCCCAAGAACGTGCCCAGACGGGGGACCCGAAAGGACATTTCGAGCCCTCGGCCCCGAGAGGCTCCCAGGAGGCCCCGAGAGGTTCCCAAGAGGCCCACAAGAGGTCCCCAGGAAGCCGAAGAGGCCCCACCCAAGAGACCCAAAAATTCCTCCACGGAGGCCCCCGAGAGCCTTGCGAAGAGACCCCAACAAGCATCCCTCTGGCCCACATCAGCGTCGTTGTCGTCGTCGCCGCAGCCGCCGCCGTTGTCGTCGTAGTCCCCCCTCCAGGGTCGGCGGCACCCGCCGCTAAGGCCGTCGCGAGAATTGAACATGATGCAAGTGTGAAACAGGCGCTGGACTCCAGCCGCTGGACTCGATGTGGTCAGAGGTGCCTTCACGAGGAAGCTGGCGGGCTCTCATGCACCGGCGGGGTCGCGCAAGCCACGGGCAGCCAGGACCCGCCGAGCCGCGCGGCCGCACGCGGGCACGCCAGCACCTGGCGAACACCGCGCGCTGATCTCCCGCTCTGCGCACCGCGCCGCCTTGGAGGCGTGGAGCCAGCGACACGCTCGTCGCTGGAAGCCCTGGAATGGGCACGGAAGGCATGGGCACGCTGCCTAACGCTGACTACCTACCAGACCACCCCAACCCAACCCGAAGACACGAATTTCGGGTCGGGGGGGTATGGGCTTATACGCGTTTTCTTCCATGTTCCCCGCCCCCCCCCTTGGAAATGGAGGGCAAATCGGGGCATTCGGGTTGGGTTGAGGTGGTCTGGTGGGCGGTGAAACATTGCACACAAAATGTTGTTTGGAGCCGGCCGCGGCCGCTGCTGGCTGGGCGGTCTTCTGTCTCAAATGGGCCACGTACGCGGCGACACCGACAGCGATTCCTGTTCAAACTGCAGGCCCCGTCGGCGTGTGTGAGCGGCTCGTCTGCACCCTCCTCCTCGAGCCTGTCAGCGAGAGTAAAATCTAGCAATGTCGTGGTCGAGTCGGAGTCGAAGGGAAGCCCCTTCCCTTTGACTTCTCCGCCGCAGGGGGGAGGGGTCCTGGGGGGGGGGCGGGTCCCGGGGGAGGTCCCGGGGCGGCCCCAGGAGAGGGTCCCAGGGGAGAGGGGGTGAGACACGCATCCCCCCCCGGGGGGGCCCCGGGGCCCCCGAAGATACCAATTCAGAGGCCCCCGCCCAAAACCTCACCTAAGCTCGGGGCGGCGGAAGTGTGGCGCCAGCCAGTTGAAAAATAACGTGTTATTTTCCTGACACGTGAACTCGATGCCGCCGAGGCGGCGGCAGGCTTCGACGGCGGCGGCACCCTCAAGTCTCGGATGCCGCCGAAATCTGTGCCCCCACAGAACTGCGATGAGGAACGCGAGCGGGGAGAAGAGAAAGAGGGGGGAAGCGAAAGAGGGAAGGGAGGGGGGAGAACTTGAGCGGAGAAAACAAATAGCACGCTGTCGCTATTTCGGACGGCCCCACATGCTCCCAGATGCCGCCCCGGCCCAACCCCCCGCCGACCGATAAGAAGGCGGGGAGGGGAAGGTGAGAAGGACGAGGGCCCGAAAAAATCATTGCATGCTACAACACACATTTAGAGGCCCCCGCCCAAAACCTCACCTAAGCTCGGGGCGGCGGAAGTGCGGCGCCAGACATAACGTGTTTTCCCTGACACGTGAACTCGACGCCGCCGAGGCGGCGGCAGGCTTCGACGGCGGCGGCACCCTCAAGTCTCGGATGCCGCCGAAATCTTTGCCCCACTCCACCGCATGTCTGGCAACAGCGCCTGGATGGCGCAGGCGTGCAGGGCCAGGGCGGGAGGGAAGTCGAACGCCACACCAGCCGCCTTGACATGTAGATCTCTCGCGTCCACGAACTCATCGCGAACATCAAAAATATCAGTGCCTTCGTTTCAGCAACACGTCGGGTGGCTCCACCGGTATATTTCGCCCGGAAACACCACTTGCGCCCCGGACGTGCTGTCGCGCACTCATCACGAGCATCAAACAATTCAGTGCCTTCATTCACAACAACACGTCGGGTGGTTCTACCGGTATATTTCGCCCGGAAGCACCACTTGCGCCCCCGACGTCCATTCACCCCCTCGCCTTGGAAGGCCCAACCAAGTTCTACTTGAGCAGCTCCGCGCCTCGCCCCAGCACCTCGGGCGGCAGCGCGACGCGGGGCGCCACCACGGCGCCGTCTGCATGTAGCGCAGTACGCTCTTCTCAGAGGCACAGCGGCCCCGCCGCTGGATGGCCCACACACTCCTGTAGCCCGTAGCCGCGTCGTGGCTCGGGCCCGAGTGCCGGGCAGCGCGCGGCGGGAAGTGGGACGCCGATGGCGTCGCAGGCGCGCCGCAGGGCGCGGCGATAGGCGCCCACCGAGCAGTCGAAGACCCGGTCGGACGGCGCCCTCTGAGCCTTCCTCCGGACGAGCATCTCGGCCACGTGCTCGCGGTCAATGAGCACACCCTGCCGCATGCCCGTCATCGCCCGCTCTCCGCGGACGGCGACACCGAGGCGGATCGCCACCACCTCCTTCCCCTCCACGTCCACGTCGATCACGATGTCCGCTGCGCGAAGGCCGAAGAGCTCCGCCGACCTGAGATAGGCGTCGAGGGCGAGCTCCGTGGCGTCGGCGGCCTCGTCGTTGCCGGCCAGCCCCATGGCCTCGTCCAGCGCCGCTCACAACTCCAGCGGCTGAGGTCCTCTCTCACCCGCCACGCGCAGACGACGCCACGCTCGAAGGGCACGATTGGACCTCGGCAGGCCCGTCGACAACTCCGGCCACACGTAGGCGAGCCCATGCACCACGAAGTCTCCACGATGCGGGCCCACCTCCTCGTCCTCGACCAGGCGGTCCAAGTAGCACAGCACCGAGTCGTCGATCTCCTCCCGGCTCATCATGGGGATGTTCCGCTCCCGCGCGAACTCCAGGAAGCGGCGGACGTTCGGCGCGTAGCAGCCCAGCACCGTCTTGGTGGACACCGAGAAGGGCAGTAGAGCCAGCCCGTGGGTCTCCTCCCTTTGACGAGGCCTCCCAAGAGAGCGCGAGCGCTCCGCGTCGTTTCTGCGACGCGCGTTGCCCATCTTGCGGTGCGACGCGCGATGCCGAAGTCTCTCCTCAGCCACGGCACTCGACGAGGTCGCTAGGATCGCACACACCAGGATCATCAGCCAGATCGACGAAGAAGAGCGGCGCACAGACGTCCCCGTCGACGTCGGAGCTGCACCGGCTCCGAAATACATCTGGCGCGTAACCCAGCCACGCAGCCCGCGCCCAGGTAGCACTTGATCGGGGCGGCTCGCTCGATCAACCCGACGCCTCGAGGAAGGCCGTACGCAAGACCTCCAGTGACGACACGTCCCGGCGCCTTCGCTCCATGGTCTCCGCGATCAGCTGCTCCACGGCCCTCTCGGTCAGGTCGGCCTCCCGTCGCTCCTGCATGGCCAGCATGCCGCCCACGTGGCACTCCGCCAGCATCTTGCAGGACTCGCACGGGCACGCCTGCATGACACTCGTCCGAAAGCGCCCCCTCGCACCCTTGCCACAGAGACTCGCGCTGCGCCGTGAGCGCTCAAGAGGGCGCACGAACCTCTCATCTGACTGGCGGTGCCCGTGAGCGTTGTCATCTTGCGAGCAGCGCACCCCCACATGCACCGCGGAAACGTCGCGCGGTAGGCGCCCACCTCGGCCTCCCGGTCCATCAGCTCCTTCGTTATGAAGATCGACGGGAGGGGCGGGCAACTGGAGTCGGCGGGATGTTCGACAGAAACCGAGACACCCTTCAGACCTAAGGGCCTCAGAATGTTCCCGAGCATCACCTTCCTCGCGTCGTCCGATCGTAGACCGGCCGACCCCGCAACTGATGTCGCAGGCGAAGAGGCGGATGGCTGCCCGGCTGGAACCGAACCCGAGACCACGTCGCACACGATGGACCCGAGTGCCCGCCGTCCGTCTCCATCTCCGCCAGCAGCTCCAGCCTCCGAACGTTGACCTCGTCCGCCAGGTCGAACTCCGCCCCGAAGCCGATGCCCACGCCGGTGCAGATCAGCAGGTAGCCCCTCGCCGCCGCGATCCTGATCAGCCAGTCCTCCAAGTCCCCGGCGCGAGCGTGGCCGCTGCAGAGGTGCACGAAGCGCAGCACCTCCACGGGCACCGATACTCCCATTCTGAGATGCTGAAAGGGGTCGATCTCCGCCGCGTCCGCCAGGCCTCGATCTGCAAGGCTACCTTCTCTGGCAACGCCTGCTCGTCCTTCCTGCGCCCCCTGGGGGCCTGCTCGATCGGGAAGCCTCGGCTCGGCCCGTCGCCGCGGTTGCGGTCCGAGGGCACCCAACGCCAGTACGCCGAGGTCGAGGGCGGCCATCCTCCTGCAGAGAATCAGGATCGGCCGACTGGCGGACCTGCCTTTGCTGAACCCGCCGAGGCAGACCATCGAATCCGTGATCCGCAGGTGCCTCCTTCCCCAGCTCGCGCGACTGGGCTGAGTGCCTCGCCGCCGCGACGCCCGCGCGCATCTCGAGCAGGTTGATATGCTCCTCCCCCTCCCGACGCCAGCGCGCAACCTCCTTCCACCTGGTAATGTCGCCCCAGCACGCATGCACGGGTGGCGCGCGGACGCGCGCGCCTAGCTCCACTTCGTCGCCCACGCGCTTGAAGGCCTCGCCCTCGCACCAAGAGCCCGAGGCCCACGACGAAGATATGCCAGTCCAGACTCCCCCCCCACCGTAGCCACCGTAGAGATGATGGCGCCTCCGCACAGACTGGCGTCGAGCATCATCACAGCGGGGCCCCAGGGCATCGCCAGGTCGACCGAGAGCAAGGGCACGATCGCAGCCGCAGCCGCGAGCTCCCTCAACACCTCCCGCGGCACCTCGCGCCGAGCTCCAACACGAAACGCCATGCACCAGGCGTAAACCTCCGAGACGATGCTCAGCGCCCCCCGGCAGATCAACAAGCCCCAGGACAGGACGCCAACGATGCGCGCGATCGAGTCGGGCAGGGAGCTGCTGATCAGGATCTCCTGGATGCCGAGCACCGAGCCACATCCTGTCCTGGTTCGGAGCCAGCCGAGCCCCCTTGAAGTCGCCCCCGATCATGCGAGCGCCGCGAACGCACCCTTGTGCACCCGGAAACCGGCGGCCCCCACCAGCTCCTCGGCGCCCGGCCAAATGTCCTCCACCGTCGTCGCATCCACCTGGCCCGGCACGGCGGGAAAGTCGAGCCCGATGATCCCGAAGTCGCCGATGCCCTCGTAGTGCGCCGCGGGCAGCTCCCGACTGAGGCGCGGCAGAGGACACCCCTCGGCGAGCCGCTGGCTCTCGGACAAGGAGCACAGGCCAGCCTGAGGGCCAGCATTGAAGATGCCCCCCATGGTTGCCTGAGCCATCCAGCATGCCCATGAGAAACCCATCAGAGCAACCTTCACACCGACGTAGGGCCCCTTCCCAGGAAGCAAGGAGGTCTCCGGCAGCAGCGCGTCCAGCTCGCCCCCCCTGACGCCTGGCAGCACGAAGTAGGGCGCTATCTCGTCCCCCAGCTCCAGCGTGTAGTAGAGGTCGGGCAGGTCGCCCGCGCCGAACCGAATGGCCACCCCGCCCTCCTTCATCTCCTCCGACACGTCCAAGAACGACATGGCACTCACTCCGCCCATGGCACACCGTGGCGGAGACCGCCACCGAGTGTTGGAGCGCCTCTGGTTGAACACCAGTCGGAGCGTGACATCGAGCTCGCTTCCCACCATCTCGGCCTTCTTCACAACGCAAAAGAGCCCGACCTCGTCCACCTTCTCGGCAGTCCGACAGAGCATACCCGCCAAAGCCATCCCCCGGGCAAGCTGCAGCACCTCCTTCTTCTTCCGAAAGTGCGGGTCCACGTAGTTGCGCACCTCGCAGGCCTGAACGCAGGCGTCGCCATCCTCCCAACATCACCTCCTTGCATTTCTCCAACTGTTGTGCCACCCGAGGCGACGCGCCCCTCACATTGACAGGTCTGGCCCCGGGGGGGCGGTAGAGCGACTCGGCCCCACTGAGCGGGAAACGCATCGCCCCTGTCGGACAGCCGCACACTTCCACCAGCATTCCTCCTCCGAATGTCGGCCAACCTCTGCTTGAAGGTCGACCGGGCCCGGTTGCCCGCCGCCGAAGCGGCAGGGCGCAGCCGCAGGATCGCGGCCCCTTGGCAGGGCTTTGTCGGCGGCGGTCGTTGGCGACGGACCTCCTCCAGCACGCGCTGAGCGAGGTCCCCGCCCAGGTTGTCGGGCATCGGCCCCTGCCCCCAGCACGCGGCCAGCTCCAGCAGGCTGTCGCCCAGACTCCTGCGGTAGAGATGTCGCAGAGCCAAGAGAGAGCGATTGGCTCGCCCAAGCATCTCCACCTGCTCTTTCCAGCATGTCAGCACCCGGCGAGACGTCGAACTCGGGCGATGCGGGCGCCGGAACAGCAGACCACCTCGGAGAGGACGTCGCGCCACCGAGACATAGAAGCCCCAATTCGGCGCGCATAAGCTCACGTGGCCACCGACGAGGACGACGCACGTCAGCAGAAGGAAAAAAGAATACGATACCCAAAAGGCGCAGAAGCGGAAGAAGACGCCCGCCCCTGCTGCAAGAGCCGACCGACGACACGCCGAGCAGCCCCCATTGAAGTTCCTCGGGCGCCACGGCGCCGCCGTTCCCCCCTCTGAGTCGGCGCGCGCCTTGATCAGCTGCGCGCCCCGACCCATGGCCATCTTCACTTCCCCCTCGGCACTCATCACTCGAATCGCGCTCTCGTCCGCCAGCTGAGGATTCAACCTGCGAGCCGCCCCCCACTCGACCTTGGACTTCCAGCCCTTGGCGTCCTTCGGGCGGCCCCAATCGCCCCGGCAGTTCACGTTGCGGCAGGCCCCGACAATCGCGTAGCCCTTGCGCACCAACCGCTCGAAACTCACCAAATTGAGCAGCCCCTTCTGGCGATCCGTCATCAGCGTCGCGCCCACCGCCGCGAAGGCCGCGATCGCCTCCCGCGCCGCGCTGCAGTCGGACAGCCCTCGATCCCGGATAAAATCTCGCGCCCGAGCCTCCGCCGTCTTCCCCGACGCGTAGATCTCCGACAGCACCTCGGCCGAGATCCTCTGCCGAAACTCTCGGGCATGCGGCTGTTCCACTCCTCCATCGGGATCTCCTTGCATTCGTCCAGCTGCTCCAGAAAACACCTGCTGGCGCATCTGAGCCTTGAACCTCATCCGCTTGATGGCCACCTCCACGGCCTCCGGCGGGCTAGTCGCCGCGCGCTTCTCCGGCGTCTCCAGCACCGAAGGCGACGAAGTCTTCGTCCGCAAACCCGCGGTAGCCGCAGCAGACGAGGACGGGGCGGCAGCCTCGATCGCAGCCACCCTCTCCCCGACGCTCGCCTCGGGCTGACCCTCCCCCTTCAACCGAGCCTCGAACTGATCCAGGCGGGCCAGCATGCCCTCGATCACCTGCTTGTTGGCCTCCGACTCCGAGTGCCCCCTGGACTGGGCGGAAGCCTCGAGCACTCCTCGCCGCAACTCTCTGGTCCGCCCGGCAGCGCGCATCTCGCTGATCTCCTCCATCATGGCCTGTTGCGCCGCGGCGAGGTCGCTGAGCTAGCTGAGTAGCCAACAACTGCGGATCCAAACCAGGCGGATGACCAGGTGGAGGCAAAGGGGGGGGGCACGGTGACGGCGGGCGGCGGCTCCCCGACGACCGAAGAAGCAGAAGATGAAGCCACCGATGATTGACCAGCCTCGCTCGTCTCCTGCAGCTCGTGAACTCCCCACGCCATCAGCATGCCCAGAGCGAGGAGGAGCGCAGCCCACCGACGCAAAGGCATCAGCTTGCGAGGCCCACTCCACCCACTCGCCGAAGTAGACCACCCACTCCTGAGCGGCCTCGGACGACGCCACGAACGTGTCCTCGCAAGCCACCACCCAGCCCCAAACGGCGACGCCCGTCTCCCCGATCAGGTCGAGAACGCCGAGGTACTTCAAGGCCTCCCACAGCACGAAGCACAACGCCAGCAGGCCCACCGCACGCCACGGCGAGCGCAAGGCCCCGCGCAGCGTACGGAAAGAGGAGCGAGCTGAACTTGCCACCGCATAGGCAACGTTGACCGCGACCGCCTGCTGCGCCTGGCGGCCCAGGCCTGTAGAGCACCAGGGCGGGAGTGGTCCCAGCCCTCCGCCCGCCGGTCGCCTGCGTCGTGAAGCTGTCCCGCTACACCTGAGACTAAGCCGGCATGGTTTGCCAGCGCACCCTGGGCAGCGGGTCGTTGAACCACGTCGACTTCGCCGTGATCGTCCCCATGCTGATGCCTGGCTGTAGAACCACCCAGCAATGTCCCGATTTCTCTGGAACAAGAAACACCTCCACGCCATCTGTAGCACTCCGACGAAGGTAGCGCTTGCTCCATACTTCCACAGGCATCACCACCTCGGGATGATAATCCTCTTCCTCACCGAACTCGGACTCCTCGCTGGGCGGGTCGCGCACCACTGTCAGGAGCGTCCACAGGAACACCAAGAGCGGCCCGCCGCAGCGCGCCGTCGCGATGATGCGCCCCCCGCCCTCCGGCAGGCTCGCCGCCTGCCCAGCAATGAAGAAGGGGAGCTCCTCGCTCTCGGCACCCACCAGCTCCCACGACGAGCCAGCAGAAGCGAGTCGATGGGGCCCGGCTCAGGCGAGATAGGCATCAACGCTTGAGCCCCAAAGAACTTGAGAGGAGAACACAAATAGCACGCTGTCGCTATTTCGGACGGCCCCACATGCTTCAAGACGCCGCCCCAGCCCTCCCCCCCGCCGACCGATTAGAAGGCGGGGAGGGGGAAGGTGACAAGGACGAGGGCCCGAAAACTTCATTGTATGCTACAACACACAGACAGGCCAAGAGTGCCCCAAGAGGCCACCCCCGAGACGGTCTACCAAACTGTCGCTCCAACACGCCGTCACGCCCTCCAGACTCCTTGGAGGCCGCCAAAACGTCCCAAGAAGCCTCCAAGAGCATTCTCGAGAAGGGCCCCACGAGGCAAAATTCATTGATGTCCCTTTGGTCTTTTTAGGATTGGGGCGTTCTCGCCCTTTTCGCTCCGCGCCGCTCCAGGACGGCCCACGAGGGCCCCCATACAGTGCAAGAGGACCCCAAGACACCCAAACGCATCCAAGACGGCCCAAGAGGCCCCCAAGACGGCCCCAAGAACGTGCCCAGACGGGCACCCGAAAGGACATTTCGAGCCCTCGGCCCCCAGAGGCTCCCAGGAGGCCCCGAGAGGTTCCCAAGAGGCCCACAAGAGGTCCCCAGGAAGCCCGAAGAGCCCCCACCCAAGAGACCCAAAAATTCCTCCACAGAGGCCCCCGAGAGCCTTGCGAAGAGACCCCAACAAGCATCCCTCTGGCCCACGTCAGCGTCGTCGTCGTCGTCGTCGCCGCAGCCGCCGCCGTTGTCGTCGTCGCCCCCCCTTTCGGGGTCGGCGGCACCCGCCGCTAAGGCCTTCGCAAGAATGAAACATGATGCAAGTGTGATACAGGCGCTGGACTCCAGCCGCTGGACTCGATGTTGTTAAAGGTGCCTCCACGAGGAGGCCGGCGGGCTCTCATGCACCGGCGGGGTCGCGCAAGCCACGGGCAGCCAAGACCCGCCGAGCCGCGCGGCCGCGCGCGGGCACGCCAGCACCTGGCGAACACCCGCGCGCTGATCTCCCGCCCTGCGCACCGCGCCGCCCTGGAGGCGCGGAGCCGGCGACACGCTCGTCGCTGGAAGCCGCCCGTCGGCCTTCGCATCCGTCCTCCCCGCACCCGCCTCGCCCGTGCCGCACGGGGCCCTCCTCCCTGGCCGAGGGACCCACGGCCGGCCGCCCCGGCCCCCGTGGCCTCGGGCCCCGGCGTGCGCGCGCGGGAGCCCCTGGCTCGGGAGGACGCCTCCGCGGAGGGCCTCTCCCGCCGCGCCGGCGGGTCGCCCCCCGGCGATCGAGCCCGGGAGCACGCGCGGGTCCCCCCCCGTGCCGAGCACGCGCGGGCCCGAGCTGGCGCAGCCGGCCCAGGGCGAGGCGCCGCCGCTGCGCGCGGCGTCGGCCGAGGCGCCGCCGCGGGGCGCGTAGGGCTCCACGGAGATGCTCCTCGAGGCGACCGTCTGCCGTGGGCCTGCCTGCAGGATGCGCCCCACGCTCTCGGCGTCCGCCATGACAACGTAGGCGATACCCCCGGCCCGGACACGAGATCTGCCACTCTGAGTCGCCACCTCCGAGGAGCTGTTGCTTCACGCGCCGCGGCGGCAACCCTGACAACACGCTTTGCCCTGCAAGCGGATAGCGTGTCGCTCCGAATCGCGGGGCGGAAGGCTGGGAGAAACTCGGCACAAAGACGCTTGGGACTTGGGATGTGATCAGTGTGTCGCGCCGAAGCATGGTGGGCCAGAACTGGCCAAGCGACACGCTACCCCGAAGTTCCCCACCGTAAACTTTCGGAGGTCCGCGCGGACTTCTTGGATCGGCGATGGACCCCGCTTGGCACCGACTGCTGCGCCGCCCCTGACGTGCTCCCCGCGCCAGGGAGGAGGGGTCCAGCGCCAATCTAAAAAACTCCGCGCCGACCTCTGGAAGTTTATGCTTATGCCGTTCTCTCCTCCGAACCTTCGACTGCGTGGCCAGCACCCTCCTGACCCGCCCAAAAGCAGAGAAATGCTTCGCCAGAGCCCCCTGGGTCTCAATGCCGAGGGTGTTCACCCGCCGCACGACGACGACGTGCTCGGAGTCCTCGCGACACAGCGACTGCAAGCAGCTCCCAATAGTGCCCGCCTGGTTGGCTCCGCTCGCATCGCAGCCGAGCGAGCTCGCGCCCTCGGCCAGCCCCTTGCGCACTCGCTCCGCACACTGCTCGCCGGAACTGCACGCAAACGCGCTCTGGCAGCCCTGGGGAAACTAAAAAAGGTACCCATACCACTACCCCCCGTGCCTTTCCTGGGGCGCGCTCTGACCAGGATTTCGAGGCGAATCCAGCGGTGACGACGAGGGCCTCCCAGGAGGCCCAAAAAGAGGACAACGGGCGAGGGGGTAGAGTTAAATCGGCCCTATTATTTTTCTGCTATTCTTGAAGATTCCCTCTGTAGAGGGACAGGCCCGACTTCAGGGTAGAGGTATTGGTGCCTTTCCCTTCTTCGAAGTCCGCCTGGGTTCCCGCCGCGGTGCGGGCCGCCACCGCCCTTTGGCCCCCCGGCGTGACGGCGGCGGCCGTCTCAGCCGCCAGGCCTGCAGGTTGGTCCGGCGGCCCCGCGCGGCACGTCGTCTGCGTGCCCGTGCGGCGGCCTGCCTGGCCCGCAGCCATCGGTGCACTCGCGGGCACTGGCACGGTCGCGGGGCGCCCTGGCATGCCGGCGGGGCCGTCAGGGAGAGCTGCGAGCCGTCCGGCGGGGACGCCTGCCGGGATCCCCGGCGGCGCCAGCAGGGCCGGCCGGCGGTGGTACGCCGCCGCGGCGCGCAGGACCGAGCCCGCGGGCAACTCGGGCATCTTCTGTCGGGGGGGCGGGAGCGACTGCGGCGCGAAATGGATAACTGCAGTCTGGGCGCTGCCTCCAGGCTGGATGACGAAAGGGCCTTGTAAAGCGACCTCGATCCCAAACGGCTATGGAGTATCGTCCCTCCCTGCCTGCTGGATGACCACCGCGCGCGTCGTCGGTGCTCGCGCGCCCAATGCAACGGACGCACGGCGAGCAACGACAGGCTGCCACTCTGCCAAGGCAACCCCCAGGCACGCACGACGCAATACAGGCACCGAAAGGCAACGAAAGGCAACCAACAAGGACGCGACACATCCCTGCTCAGGGCAATTCGCCACGTGCCCATTTTCAGATTTGCTCTAATACGCTTAGGTTCGCAAGCGCGCGAAACGGGTCGAACGCCGGGCTAGCAGGGGCAGGCTATGCCACCAGCTGCGGAAAACAAGCAACGAGCAACGCCAGGTACGGGGCGGAACTCTGGCGGCCAAAACGGCGCGAAGGCGACGTAGGGCACCGGAAACGTGAGGAAGGTGCCGGTGGAGAAGACAAAACCAGTGCACACGATGGCGGCGAAGGAAGCTATTGGGGATTTTTTCCGTCGCGGCCGCAAGCGAAAGCGCAGGCGGCGTCCGAAGTCAGCCCGGGCTACGAGCCAAGCCTAATTACCTACGCCGAGGGACGCCGGGGACTGAAGGCAGAGCTGCAAGAGGTGCCAGGTGTGCCAGGTGTGCCAGGCGACTGAAATGCCACCAGGAGGGCAAACGAATTGGACCTTGTCGCGCCAGGCGCCAGAAAAACGTGCCACCGAGCAGAGCACGGCATAGCGCGGGGCTGAGCAAGCGGTCCAGCGCACCTGTGTCGCATGCCAACAGTGGCAACCTCAAGTGCTTGAACAAGAAAGCTAAACGACTCATGAGCAATCCACGTGGAGGTGCATCCCACCGCTGCAAGGCGGCATCGGCAAACACGGCCAGGCTGTGGCAGCGTCTGGGGGCCAGGGGCCAGGAACATGCAAGCATGCTAGCTCGAGCTGGTCGCTAGCACGGACACCATCAGACGCCAGGGACAGCGGCTCTTGGGGATACTTTTTCGTCGCAGCCGCAAACGAAGGCGCGCAGCGGCGTCACAAGTCAGCTCGGGCTACGAGCAGAACTAATTGACCTAGCGCGCGCACAGGCGGCAGCTGTTGGGGATCTTTTTTTCGCTCGCGAGCGCAAGCGGAGAAGCCGCGCGCCGTCAGTTTGGTCGCGGCTACCAGCGAAGAGCGCAGGCGGCGAGCAGGGTGTCCGGGCCGACGGGCAAGCCTAATTAGCTACTGGGCGCGTCACAAACCGGCCGGGCCAGCTCACTCTTGGGGATACGCGAAGCTTCAAGAACCTCCCGTTCACACCTTTTCGGACTTCCGGCAGCCCAAGACGGCCGAAGAGGCATCTAAGATAGCCCCAGGCTGGCCCAAGTGGTACCCAAGAGGGCCCCAAGACGGCCGACAAAAAGCCCAAAAGGCCCCCGAGACGGCCCCACTGAGGCCGCAATGCGGCCCAGGAGGCCTCCAGTGCGACGCTAAAGCACCCCAAGGGGTTTTCCAGACGGCCCAGAGATACCCAGACATGCCCACAGCGCTCGAGAACTGCCCAAGAGGCCCCCAAGAGGCCCCGAGAGGCCCCCCAGAGGCCCCCAAGAAGCATCCGGGCGCGCCCCCCCCCCCGGGGGCCCGCCCCGTCGCGGTGGCGACACCGCACGGCAGCGCAGCGAAACACCGTACGATGTGGCCGCCGGGCAGGGCCGCCCCGCCGCTCGGCCCCGGAAGCAAGAGCCTCCCTTGCTCCGCCCGTGACAAGGGGAAGCCAGGACGCAGACGAAATCGGGTGAGGACCAATCGAGAATCTCGACCCGGCGGGCCTGGAGGACGTCTCGGGCGCCGCGGCCTCATCGGAGCGGTCCGGAGCGCTCTGAGAGGGCTCTGGAGCGCTCTGGAGAGATTGAAATCTCTCCCAGCCTGAGGTCGGGCATGTCCTCCCACAGGCGGACTTTGGAAAAGTTAAAAGCTGTCAAGAAAATTGAAGATGGTCAAAAGAGCACGAGAAGTCGTCAGCAGGCTAATTTTCTACTATTGTTGAATTTTCCCCCTGTAGAGGCACATGCTCGACTTCATCCTAGCCCCGTCCGACCCGGCCGACGTGACCTCACGCCACTCAGGCTCGCCTCTACCTGCGCCGCCCACCAACCAGCGGCATCGGGGGCACTGCTCTGGGCCGGGCCAGGCCCCGCGGCCAGAAAACACGCTGGGAGCACCTCACGATACGTTCAGGGAAGCTTGCTGCGCGCAGGACCACAGCAGGAGTTGCTGGCGAGCCAGGAGTCAGACGCCGGCGAGTGCGATGGCGAAAGCGACGCCAAGAGAAAGCCAAAAGCAATGCTCGAATGAGCTGAACGAAAAAACACGGCAGAATCCGGACAAGCCCTGGAACCTCGCGGGGAGCTACGAGCCCATGCACCATCACCTGGAGGTCAACAGTTGGACCCTTTTACGCTGCAGGGCTAGGCGTCAGTGAAAAGGGCACGCGCATGCCTGCGTGCCTGTGCAGCGTTTTAATTATATATATATATATATATAATATATATATATATATATATATATATCTGTGTGTATATGTGTGTGTGACAGTCCCCTGTCAACATGCATATTCCTCCTCATCCTCGACTGCTCTCCTCCGTTTTCTTCCTATCTCTTTTTCTCTCTCTCTCTCTCTCTCTCTCTCTCTCTATATATATATACAAGAACCATCGCGCGCGTTTCGCACGCGCTCAAGTTCTAGCTATGCTTGATAGGCTAACTCATGTAATATCACATTGGTCGCTTCTTGCGTCCAGGGACTCCCTTGGAGGCCATGCACAAGCCTCTGAACCGTATACAGATATATATATATATATATATGTATATATATGCATCTGCAAATACATATACAGATACCCATGCATGAGCATATATATATATACAGTTCATAAAGGTACACATCAAAGTATACATTGATATACATACATACATACATACATATACATACACATATAAATATGCATATGCATATACATATATATATATATACATAGATATACACACATAAATCTATATATATATATATACGTATATATATACGTATAGACATACACACATACGTGCGCACATATACACATTAACACATAGAGAGGGAAAGAAAGAGAGAGAGAGAGAGAGAGCGAGAGAGAGAGGGAGGCCCGAGGGCCCCCTATGACAGAACCAGAGCCAACGAGGGCCCCAATACTGTGCAAGATGGCCCCGAGTCGGCCCAAATATCGCTCCAAGACACCCCACAGACGGCCCAAGAAACCCCCAAGACGCCCCTGGAGGGCTCCAAGAGGCCCTCCAAGGGGACCCCGAGACACCAAAACTATATGAATCGCTTCGCTCGTTCCGCCGGCCCGCTTCGCATCACTATGGCTGCGTGGTGCTCGTGCGGAGAGGGAACGGTAGGACCAGGAGGAAAGTTCTCAAGGAGATCTTTGGATATGTGGCACCCACTCTGTCAAAGAGAGCGGATAGACTGCCGCAGAGGGCGCCAACATGGCTCAGGAAAGCTCCAGCAGAGTTTCGAGACGCACCTAGGTTGTAGGTCAGAGTCCGGATGCTTCTTGGGGTCCCTTCAAAGGGCTCTCGGAAGCCTCTGGGAAGCAGCTTTGAGGCCTCTGGGGAGCCTCGTGGGTGCTTATTGGGGACCTCTTGGGGATTCCTGGGGTACTGTTGAAGATCTTGGGGCCTCTTCTGGGGCCTCTTGGGGGCCTCTTGGGGCCTCTTGCAGGGCTCTTGTGGGCCTCTGGGGGCTTCCTGGGTGCTTCTTGGGACCGACAGCTCGAAATGTCCGTTCGGGTTCCCCCTCTGGGCCCCCTCTGAGGCCATCCCCCCAAGACGGCCCACTAGGGCCCCAAGGGGGGCCCCAAACAGACCCCAGAGGGGGAACACAAACCGACATTTCGAGCCGTTCGCCGCAAGATGGCCCCCGAGACCGCCAGCAGGTCCCCAAGAGGCCCCCCACAAGCTCCAGGAGGCCCAAAAGAGGCCCAGATCAGGCCCCAAGAGGCTCTCGAAAACCCCGAGAGGCCCCCAAGACAGTCCAAAGCCGAATCCAAGAGGCTTCAAAGAGGCCTCCCAAGAGATCCCCACAGGCATCCTGGAGGCTCCTGACCTACAACCCAGGCACAGTGGCGGGATGGACCGAAAGCAACTAGATCCGCCACCCCCTGGCCTGGCATGCTGAACTTCTTCCGGTTTGGTTTGGGTGTTTTTCCAAGCGATCTCTTCCCTCGGCCCGTCCCGCCGGCCACCAAAAAAACACCGGAAACGAGGACAACGTGCGCAAAAAATCTCCGAGACGGCCCAAGATGGCCTCCAAGACGGCCAAGATGGCCTCCAAGTTCGCCCAAGATGGTCCAAGATGGCCTCGAAGACAGCCCAAAAGAGTCCAAGATGCCTCCAAGTTCGCCAAAGAAGCCGCCAAGACGGCGGAAGATGGGCCAAGACGGCCCAAGAGGCCCCCAAGAGGTCTCCAAGACGGCCCACAGGGCCTCCAAGAGGTCCTCTAGGAAGGCCCGAAGAGGCCAAAATCATTGATTTCCCAAAAATGTGTTTTAAGGATGTTGGGCATGTGATTCGTTTCGGCCTTCCGACGACCCGAGAAGGCCCATGAGACCCCAAGGATCGCCCCAAGATCGCCCAAGCGGCCTCCAAGATGGGCTCAGAACGGCCGAAGAGGCCCCAAAGACGGCCCCAAGGAGCCCCAAGACAGCCCAAGAGGCCTCCAAGACGGCCCTGGAGCACCCCAAGAGGGCTCCAAGCCCAGAGAGGCCCCCAAGACGCCTTCCGACGGCGTCAGACGGGCCAGGAGGCCACCAAGACGGCCCAAGATGGCTCCAAGATGGCCCGAGACGGCCCAAATGGCCCCCGAGAAGTTTCCAAGACGGCCCAAGAGGCCTCCAAGGGGGCCTTCAGGAAGGCCCGAAGAGGCCAAAATCATTGATTTCCCAAAATGTGTTTCAAAGATTTTGACATGTGCTTCGTTTCGGCCTTCCGAGGGCCCGAGACGGCCCATGAGCCCCCAAGGATCGCCCCTGGATCGCCCAAGGGGCCTCCAAGATGGCCCCAGAACGGCCGAAGAGGGCCCCAAGACGGCCCCAAGGAGCCCCAAGACGGCCCAAGAGGCCTCCAAAACGCCCAAGGTGGCCTCCAAGACGGCCCTGGAGCACCCTAAGAGGGCCCCAAATCGGCCCAGAGAGTCCCCCAAGACGGCTTCCGACTGCGTCAGACGGACCAGGAGGCCACCAAGACGGCCCAAGATGGCTCCAAGATGGCCCAAGACGGCTCAGGGGGCCCCCAAGAGGTTTCCAAGACGGCAGGAAGGCCCGAAGAGGCCAAAATCATTGATTTCCCAAAAATGTGTTTCAAGGATTTTGGGCATGTGATTCGTTTCGGCCTTCCGACGGCCCGAGACGGCCCATGAGCCCCCAAGGATCGCCCCAAGATCGCCCAAGCGGCCTCCAAGATGGCCCTAGAACGGTTCAGGGGGTCCCCAAGAGGTTTCCAAGACGGCAGGAATGCCCGAAGAGGCCAAAATCATTGATTTCCCAAAAAATTGTTTCAAGGATTTTGGGCATGTGATTCGTTTCGGCCTTCCGACGGCCCGAGACGGCCCATGAGCCCCCAAGGATCGCCCCAAGATCGCCCAAGCGGCCTCCAAGATGGCCCTAGAACGGCCGAAGGGGCCCCAAAGACGGCCCCAAGGAGCCCCAAGACGGCCCAAGAGGCCTCCAAGACGCTCAAGGTGGCCTCCAAGACGGCCCTGGAGCACCCCAAGAGGGCCCTGAGTCGGCCCAGAGAGGCCCCCAAGACGGCTTCCGACGGCGTCAGACGGGCCAGGACTGCACTAAGATGACCCAAGAGGCCCCCGAGAGGCCCCAAAAAGCCCCCAAGATGCCTCCAAGAGGTTTCCATAAGCTCCCAGGAGGCCCTAATAGTGCCCCCAGAGGCTCCCAGGATGCCCTTTCCTTCTCCTCCTCCTCCTCCTCCTCCTCCTCCTCCTCCTCCTCCTCCTCCTCCTCCTCCTCCTCCTCCTCCTCCTCCTCCCCTCCTCCCCTTCATCCTCCTCCCCCTCCTCCTCCTCCTCATCCCTCCTCCTCTCTCCTCCTCCACCTCCTCCTCCTCCTCATCCTCCTCCTCCTCCTACTCCTCCTCCTCCTCCTCCCTCCTCCTCCCTCCCTCCTCCTCCTCCTCCTCCTCCTCCTCCTCCCTCCTCCTCCTCCTCCTCCTCTCCTCCTCCTCCTCCTCCTCCTCCTCCTCCTCCTCCTCCTCCTCCTCCTCCTCCTCCTCCTCCTCCTTCCTCCTCCTCCTCCACCTCCTCCTCCCCTCCTCCTCCTCCTCCTCCTCCTCCTCCCTCCTCCTCCTCCTCCTCCTCCTCCTCCTCCTCCTCCTCCTCATCCCTCCTCCTCCTCCTCCTCCAACTCCTCCTCCTCCTCCTGGTATTCCCCGCCATCCTCCCCCAAGTGTTCCCCGAAGGGCTTCCACAACGGCCGGGAGAACACATGGTCCGATAGCTTGGCAGAGCTCTTGCCACAACGCTCGGCCACATGGGCGATTCCAAAAGGCAGGAGGAGGCGGTGATTCGCCATAAGCGTCTTCGGTTATGTTTCTCTCTCTCTCTGTCTCTGTTTCGGCTTCCCTCTGGGCTCAAGCCCGTGTAATGACGGCCGTGCCCTTCCAAAAACTTCCACGTCTACGCTGTGCACGTGCTCTGGCACACACGTTCAAGAACTTCACGCTCTGAACGTGATCCCCCCCTTTCCACGTGCCTCGTCTCCTCCCTCCGACTGGTGTACCCGATCCGGCCCCATTGCATCCCACGGTTGCCCCCGAACGCGGTGAGGACTCTCGGCACTGCAACCAACCACAGCAACAAAAATGCACACGGCCGCCGAGAACAAGCCCAAGCAACCTGGCCACTCGCTGGATCACCAGAGCGTTCGCCCCGAAAGAAGGCGTGGGCTGCGCAGTGAACATCCCAGCCGTGGTCAGAGGAAGCCAGCCTCCCGTTCCACACTAGGTCATGACGAACCCGCGGCACCACCAGGCCACCGAGATGGGTCGGAGGATCGCGCCGCGTCGCCGATGCATCACTGATGCATCGGCGATGCATCGACGACGTCGGGGATGCATCGGCGACGTCGACGTGAAGAGAATCGGGCTCCACTCGGCGGCGAGCGAGGGGAGGAAGTGAGAAGGCGGCGGGACTTCTCAGAAGCCCTGGTGCCTTCTGAGAAGCTTTCTGTGTCTTCGGGGAAGGCTCAGAAAACTTCTCAGAAGACCCGGGGGACTTCCGAGCCTTCTGAGAAGGCCTTCTCCCTCGCAGTTTCCCCCCCTCGCTCGCCGCCGAAAACAGTCGGGCTCCACATCGAGCCGCATCGCCGATGCCTCGGCGATGCGGCGCCATCCCCCGACCCCACCCGCTCGGACCCCATCTCTGGGAGGCCCAGAACCACGCGGGAGCGCTGAGCATGGCCGGGCCCCCGCACTCCTGACATGACCTTCGGCCCCTCCTGCCACCGTGCCCGGGCTGTGGGCAGGAAGCCTGTGGGATGCTCGCTGGGATCTCGTGGGAGGCCTTTCGGGGGCAGTGTGGGGGCCTCTCGGGGGCCGCTTGGGGGGAGGAGGAGGTGAGGAGGCGGGAGAAGAGGGCAGGAGGAGGAGGAGGAGGAGGAGGAGGGGGGGGGAAGAGGAGGAGGAGGAGGAGGAGGAGGAGGAGGAGGAGGAGGAGGGGCCTCTTTGGGGGGCCTCTCTTTGGGCCTCTTTAGGGGGCCTCTTGGGAGCCTCTTGGTGGGGCCCGTCTCCCTCTCCATCCCTCGCCCGGCGGGCATGCCCGCGTGCCCTCCTCGACACTTGAGACTTTCTTCCGTTGTCGTTGGTCCTCAGCTTCAGGATACGCTCCGGCAGCTGCCCTAGGAACAGATGTTTCTATTGGGCGTGGCTTAATGGGGGGGTCACAAATGGGGGGGTCAGAAAAGGTCCCCTTTCGTGCCCCTTTCGGGCCCCTCCAGAGCCCTAGGGGGCTCGTTTAGGTACCGTCTGGGTACCTTTTCGGACCACGCTCGCCACCCCCCCATTTATGACCCCCCCATTACGCGGCGCCCAATCCTCAGCTTCAGGATACGCTCTGGCAGCTGCGCTGGGAACAGATGTTTCTACATGTCCAACGCGCCTCCGGTTTCTGAGCAAGGAGGTCCGGAAACCCGAGACGCAATGGATACGGGTACAAATCTTGCCCGCATTACGAGACGGAAGGCTCCTCGATCCGAGAAACGGCGCGTCCAGGAGTCTGCGACCTCGCCTGCTGTCGTGTGACTGCGCAGTCCTGGCCCTCCCTGTGAACTCTCGCAGGTGCGGGTTGCTGTTCAGCTGAACCTGCTCGGCCGTGAGGGCGAGAAGCAGGTGGATGCCAGTGAGTGCGCCTACGCTGGCTGCTGGGCATCGGATCTACGACAGGCAACGGAAAATCTTCACAGAAAGAACGGAATGCCGAAAGGACCCCTGAAAGAGTACTGAAATGCAGGAGCCAGCCACACCAGCCTCACTGCCATGATTGCTGCGGGTAGTACTCACTGCTCGATCTCGCAAGCGTACGTCTGCAGATGACAGGGGGCACACGATAGACAGGCAGTTCCCCAGCGCACCTCATCTCTCCTGCAGCAACAGGGAGTGCCAACCATGGCTCAGACGCGGCAGAGTGACAACACTCGGCGAAACAGATATGAGGTGTCCTCCTGAAGAGCACTTCCGATCGCAAGAAAGCGTGAAAGTAACACACGCCTGCGTCGCCTTCCCGAATGTCAACCAGCTGGCCGTTGCTCACATACTTGGAGCAAGCAGCAAGGTCGCTCGTCATCTCCAGTACTTCTGCAGACAAATTGGAGTTCAGATGGAACACTGTTCAGAGCACAACCGTAAAGAGATCGAAGCAGCGTACAACAGCAAAGCGCATCACATAAAAAAAACCCTGCGATCAGATGGACGCGCATGCTAAGGGGCATACATCGAGATTAGACCTTCTACACAAGCACATGAATTAGGACACGCTGATTGACCGGAAATAAGGATTGCGACGCAGAAAGGTATGCAACTTGAAACTAAAGAAGGCTCAAGAAGGGCCTAAGAGAAAGGCTCAAAAAAAGCCCCAAGAGGCTCCAGTATAGCGCTAAGGTGGCCAAAGATTGTCCAACACAGCCTTCAATCTTCAAGAGGCCACACGAAGACCCAAAGCGGTCAACATTATATGTTGTTTGTTGGTTATATCATGTGTTCCCTCGGTTTGTTCCCTTTGAAGGGAGCTGCAATTCAGCACAGCCCTCACGCACGTGGTGCCTCATGGACTCCAATGAGGCCCCTCAGCTAAACGAATCAAGGGAGCCTCGATTCGGTGAACTTCATGGCCCATGGACCCACAGAGGTTGTCAGTTAGCTTCTAAGACCGCCTGGCCCCGCCCTCAGCGGACGCCAAGGTGGCGCTGAGAACCCACCATCGTCGAAGCCATACGCCGAACACCCACTAATCTCAACATCTGCGTGCGTGTTGGCCCTGAGGGGCCGCCGTGTCGCCCGCTCTGCGGGCTCAACAAACGACAAGAACGTCGACTGAGAAAGCTATGCGATATTAAGTGCTGGTGTCCGTCCCAATCGTGACAGGCAGACCAAAAGCGTTGCCGAGGCTGGCGCAGGAATTGCTGCAAAATTCGTCGTATACCCGATGGACA